ACGTCTATTTTTAGCGAAACCTTTTAGGCACGAAAAGCCAATTTGAAGTAGAGTTTATGCACCTAAAAGTGTATTAACCCTTAGAAAATTTTAAAAATATTACGGTAGACACCTAAAAGTATAACAGAGAAAACGCCAGTCACGTATTTTTAACGAAAAATTCTTTAGGTACCAGAAATCAATTTGATAGTTTAGGCACCTAACATTGTATCTTTTTAAATCTTTTTTTTAAAATTTTATATGTATGACACGTGTTAGATAATGATCAAATTTAATTTTCGTTACGGTCTAGATACTAAAAAATATAACGTTGGAAAGGTTAGACACTTATTTTTAGCAAAAAAATAGACATCAAAAATCAATTTGAAGTATATTTTAGACACCTAAAAATGTATTAAGTATTATTTAAAAGATCACCTGTACTAATATAACGATTAAGTTTGACAACACATGGACAACTAATTTTTATATAATATATTTAAGACAATTACATACACACATTAATATCAACAAACAAAAATATGAGGGTCTAAAGTATAGATAAAATTAAAAGCAAGTAAGATAATCAAACAAGCCCCAATAATATATGTGACGAAAAGTTTAATCCAAAGAAAAACCTACAAAAAAAACAAGACAAACTTATGAAAAGAACAAAATTTCACACTTTTTATTAGAAAAATAAAAAATTATTAAATAAAAATCTAAAATTTATAAAAAAATGCTAGAGAAATGAAAATGAGAAAAATAAGGAAATAATATAACGGGTGAGAAAATAATGAGAGACAAGACTAAAGCTTGATATATAATAAAAAAAAGTTTATGGGGTAAGTTGTAGTGTTTATTTTTTTTAAAGTAATTTACGTGATTATAAGATAATATTTATTTAGAGTTTTTCTAAAAATAACATATTATTTTTTACTACCGAGGTCATTCAATATATTTTTATTATAGTGTTTATGTTGGATATATTATTTTATAAACCCTTGTATATTGTAATAATAATAATATTAATTAAACTAATATTTGATTAACAGAGTGAATATATAATTAAATTTAAATAATAATATTTTTATTAAACTAAGGTGCTCCCTAAGTAATATATGGCATTATTAAATAAAAAACTCCAATTTATTATTTTATTGAAAAAACAACCATCAAACAACATTAATTAAAAAAATACATTTCAAACTGCACAAATAGGACTACCTCGCGTTCTACAAAACGTATTTTAAAGACCCCGCTTTCTACAAAACGTGAAATCCATTAACTTTTTAGATAATTTCATTTAATATTTGGATAAAAGACACAATAAATATATGTAACTTGCTATTTTGTAAAACGTTAGGTTTGACCTCGCTTTTCACAACAAGCAAGATCATCCTACGTGGATAGTTTATAGGTACCTTTTAATAAATGGGGGTTTTCATTTAATAATGTCGTAATTTATGCTCGAATGATTTTAAGTCATTTGATAATTAACGTGCTCAAACACCTCTATTTGTGGATGTTGGTGTTCATGCCTAAAATCTCTGCAAACAATAACTATCTTTTAGGCCCCGTTTGGTTCACGTTATCTTTCATTCTTGGGAGGAATGTTTTTTTCGGGGGTATTATTCCCATGTTTGGATGGGTCACATTCCCAAATACGGGTAATGAATGAATACCAACAGTGGTGTTTTGTTCCTGTTTTCACGGGAATGTCAATCCCCCATCTCCATTAGGTATTTACTTATTCTCGCCTCCGTTGTCTGAAATATCTTCTCCCATTTTCCTTCTGGCTGAAACAAAATCATATTCTTCTTCGATTTGGCCAGAGTTGTTGCAAGGAGATTCCATTACTGCTCCAACAAACTTCTTCTTCTGTGGAGCCGAGCAAGGAGAAATGAGGCCTCCGTTGTCTGAATCTTCTCCCATTTTTCCTTCTGGCTGAAACAAAATCATATTCTTCTTCGATTTGGCCAGAGTTGTTGCAAGGAGATTCCATTACTGCTCCAACAAACTTCTTCTTCTGTGGAGCCGAGCAAGGAGAAATGAGCCCGCAGACTGCTCAAGATGGATCTATTTCAATTACGTTAGTTGACCTTGAAGTTCTTGATTGTTCTATCTGTTACAAGGCCTTGAGTATCCCTATTTTTCAGGTTGGTCATTTAATTGTTGATAATTTGGTGGTTTGGGGTATGTGTTTCCTAGTCTTTGGTGAAAAACATTCAATTTTTTCGTTAATTTCTTTGTTTTATGGTGAAATGATTGGGTTTTAGGGTGGATTTTAATTTTTGGGACAAAATGGTTTCAGATTCCAGTGTTTCCTCTTTAATATGCAACTGGGTTTTCTTTATTGTTATTGGTGAAATGCTTCTAAAAGTTTGATTTTTGCTGATAGATTTTTGTTTGTTAGGGAAAACTTTTCAAATTTATCTATGTTTTCTCTTTTCAAATTGTTTGTTCTATAAATTTATATGAGATGAATCCTTTAACACTAGTTATTCATGCTAAACTTTGAATATTGACTTGGGGGATATGATTGGAGAGAAATTGCTTAGTTATAGACTTCAATTTATTAGTTGGTATAGTGGTTTTTATACTTTTTTTTTGTGAAGATAAGGTTTGTTCATTTAGCAAATCTGTTTAAATTCTATAATTGAATACTAGAATCAAAGTTTGTGACTGTTAAAAGGAACTATATAGATGGTGAAGAAAGTGATTGTTAGCTTCAGTGGCAGAGATGGTTAGTTAGTTGATAGATCATGAGAATTATGTGGAATTCAAATATTTATTGTTCCCTATATGAATTTGTAAGGGGAAATAAATGATATCGTTGTTCTGTGTTAAATCTAAGTTGCTATTTCAAAATGCATTGCAAGGTTTTTTATGTACTTGAAGGGTCTTTGGAGGGTCGTATCCATATGCTCATGTTGAATATATGTCGTATCCATAAGGTTTTATTCATTTGTTCATATATTAAATGCATCCTGATGAATTGTTGTGTTTGATTGGCAATTCAGTGTGAGAATGGGCATATAGCTTGCTCTACTTGTATTAAAATAAGGAATAGATGTCCATCCTGTTCGACTCCCATTGGCTATAGTCATTGCAGGGCAATTGAGAAGGTTTTGGAATCCGTCAAAGTGTCATGCCAAAACACAAAGTACGGGTGCAAAGAAGCATTTAGTTATAGCTTGAAGCAGAAACATGAAAAGGCATGTCCATTTGTGCCATGTTTGTGCCATTTGTGTATATAATATAGCCAATATATATGCTTAAGTTTAGAGTGTCATGGCTATTATCTTTTGTAAGTATGAACATTGTTGTTGCTTTTGATGGTTAATGTTATACTTAGTTTTGTTCTGTAAGTTAAACAAAGAATGTAAGCTTATCTCTTATATTTCAGTTTTCACTTTTGCTTTTCATTCTACTTGAACATGCTGCCTGCTAGTGTTCTCTGTCAGTCTATCTCATTTGAGATTTCTATCTGAAGGCTAAATTTATTGCTTCCCAGTGTTCCTCATAAATGTTGCATCCTAATTTATGTTATTGGGTATCAAGAATACCACAGGTTTTGTAAATATAAAAGAGATATTTCTATAGGAGCATTGTTCTCTGTCTAGTGATTTCTACGCATTAACTGGGATTCTGTGGCCCATTCTCTGGGCAAGCCAAGAGTGTTCTGGATCAATGTCGATGAATTTATGTACAAGGAACACTTCTGCTTGTTCGTTGTTCAGTTCTGTGCGGTTACGAAACCAGGTGACTTGAAGTGGAGATGACAATGTTCGAATAGAGTTGTACTAGCTCCAAAAATGTAGTCATGAACCACTGAAATGCTATGCTATTTAGACTCGAATGAAAATGTCGGATATTCGGATTCGATTTATCGATCAGTAGCTAAGTACCTGCCACCCTAGAAACCTGCAACTATAGAATGCACACCGATCTTCTGTTACCATGACTGCCACAGGTTGGCGTGAACCCTGGAAGAAAGAACAAAAAAAGTAATCAAATACCAACTATGTCTCATATTCATGTGTCGAATACGAGTGTTTAACATATACAGTTGGAAAATGTTCGTATAACGTTCGTTTATTAAGTTAAATGGAGGTGTCGGTTATTCGAACAACATTTAACTCGATTGATATATTTCCCATATTGTGACTTATCATTTATGTTCAGAACTTCTAAAACATTTGGCATAAGTGAGCATCATCTTACATTTTGGTAGGAGTAAAATGGTTCATCTATTAAAATTTTCATATGCTTATTTAGTTAAATGTTGATATAAAATTTTAATATATTTTTAGATAAAGAATGTAAAAATTAATATTATTTATAATTAAAATAATACATGATATATTTATTATTTTATTCTACCCATTTATCTTTTAAATTTTATAAAAAAATTATATATAAATTTTATTAAAAAGTATATAAATTTAAAAAAAAATATTTTCGATGATTTTTTTATATAAATATTTTCATTTAAATATTTAGAATTCCAATTGTTAAAACATATAGAACAAAGACAATTTGGTAAAATACATGTTCCAGTCATCTCTTATTCTATCAACTAAACACTGTAATCTTACATTCCTGCCGAACAAACCAAACATTGTAATGTAACATTCCCAGTAATATATTAGGTAATGTTACATTCCAGTAATATTATTCCCAAATATAATCTTACATTCCGTAAATCAATCGCGCCTTTAAAGTAACTTAGTTCATGCACCTATCAATTACATAACAATAAGTTGAATAATAAGAAAAATGGAATCGGAGGAGGAATAATAGTAATGAAAGCCCAAGATTCCCTCAATTCGTAGAAGACACTTCTCATCCAGAACAGACATATCACATTATGTCATGTGTGACGGGCTGCCCAATTTTGATTAGGTTTTCACAAGTTGAAAACAAAAAGAATTTGCTTTCATTTTCCCGCCTTCCCGCTTTCCCGATAAAAATTTTAGTTTGTTCAAAAAGAAAAGGATCATTGGGCATTTTCTCACTCTCTCGAGGCTCTGAGCTCTTAAGGCTTCCAGTTAGCCTTCAAAGAGCGCGGAAGTGAGATGAAGATGCGGCAACTTTGATGGAAAAAATGGATACACCAGATAAAACCCAGATCACTCCAACTTCTGATCTTTCCAAATTTGAGGTTTTTTCCCCCTTGTTTATTTTAAAAAAAATGAGTTTTTATTTCTTTTGTTCTTTTACTCATAAATGAAGTTAACACCCTTTGTTTTACGTGAAAGGTTTAATAAATTACATGCTAACTAAACTAGGTTTTTTTTTAATCTGTTGAAGTCTTTTTTGGTGTTACATTATAAGTTAAATTTGTACTCTTTTCATTTTCCGTGTTAATTTTGGATTTATTGGAGATTTTGCCTCCATTCTTGTTGTTATCCTTTACATCGAGTTTTGGGATAGATTACTGTTATAACTTTAGGTTGTTTGAGGGGAGGGGCACAAAATCCACGAAGGGAAGGTGGAATTTCTACTAATTTAACCAAACTTCAGTTGTGAAATGTTAGGGAAATTATTCAGTCTCAACCATTTATAGTGTTGGCATCAACCTGGAACTTGTTCGGAGTCATAGTAACTCAACAATTAATATTCATGGATGATAGAGATTTTGTAATTGACTAATTTTATACAAAGGAACTACAAGTGATTTGCACTTGAAAAGGTTGTGGATATTGGTATTTAGTTGCATGGAATGATATGGAAAGGATGTGTTCTTTCTAGTTTGGCTTTGATACCTTGTTTTCTAGTATGTTATTTTGAGTTTCATTTTTCTTGAAATTCCCATGTATGATACTTATTTAGACATAGATACAGAGATATGATCCTCCAAAAAACCCTCTAAATATGTGAGAGAACTTGAGTAACATAGTTTTCTAATGCTACCTGATCATTTGTTAATTAGGCTATTAAGGACTTGCGTGCTAAGTTTTAAACTTTTGTTTCTCCCTTTTGCAGGATTCACCTGTCTTTAAGTATATTGACAGTCTTTCACCTATTGAGCTAGCCAAGTCCAAGCAAACAGATAATGCTTTCAGTTCACTAGCATTTTTGTCCCCTTCATCTTTATTTCCTTCCCCACAGATCAGTATTCATAGGGAATCCCGTTTTTTGGTTAAAAGGTAAAACTAATCATTTCTGTTTGGTTCACGATTTCAAGTGTCTAATTGAGGTTTGTTTCAGGCATCATTTCTTGTCACCTTCAAATTCGAAAGCCCCCCAGAGAGGTCATGAATCTAATGCTAGTAAGGGGGCCTCAAAAGCTGATGAACGGTCTAACTTGTATGATGAACATCTGGGATGTCTCAAGAATGACTGTTTATCCAAAAGAACTAGCAGTGATCTACTCAATGTCCAACCGGATTTAGCAACAGAGTTTCCTAGAACCTTGAAATATGATTGCAGGAGTCCTGATGATAACATCGAGCTTCATGCTGAGATACTGAAAAATACAAGCATGGAAGTGGCAGGTGACGAGAGATCTCGTTTTCAACGCAATAGGGATGGATGGGAAAACAGGCAGGTTCAAGAAAGAGATTTGCGTAAAATATGCAGATTTCAGCATATTGAAAAATCAGCAGGATGCGACTGGGTAGCAGCTCTTTCTGATGTTGCTGATATGTTGACAATGAATTCATCTGTCATTCATGAAAATACTGATGGGCAGGATCAGAGAGCAGCAGATCCAGGGACAGCCTCTTTTATGTCAACTATCATGCAGTTCCCACTAGATAATGCCAATAAATTAGATATTGGAGAATCTGGTGATCCTAGTGGTTCTTGCAAACAAAATGAATTGGCAGAGCCAGTAACAGATCAGACGCAGAATATCCTTTCTACTTGTCTACTAGACAAACTAGTAGTTAGAGATTTAGGTTTGAAAAAGGATGATAAGGAGAACTGCAACCGGTCCAACCATCAGGTTAACTGAAAAAACCTATAAATTTTCTCATTCAAGTTCCTTATTGTTGTATGTTTATTAAGGATGTTTTCTATTAGTGCGCATCTTCTGAATTGTTTACACTATTTGTCCTTCTCGGTGCATTGGCACTTTTCTAGAATTGTACTTTACATTATTCTATCAGCAGGTTAGTATTCGACGGCGCTGTCTGGTGTTTGAGAAGTCACCTGGTTTTGGTTTGCACTTGAATTCACTTCTCAACATCACAAAAGGTTAAATTTCTTTAGTGTGAGGCTCTAGCATCTTAAAAGCAACTGAAATGCATGTCTGGGTCCTTGACTTCTTCTACTTATCTTACTGAAGATCAGAGTCATCTTAGTAAATCAACTCCAAGCTCTATGGACAGTGGTGGGGTTCCTGATGACAAGAGAGCTGCGGTTACAGAAAAATCTTCTGAGACACCTGCTACCTTTGGTGGAAATGAATTTGATCATAATAGTCCTGAAAAGAAGAGGCACGTATAAGATTACTAATTTTCTATATTTGCATGAAAATTACCTTGATATGCAAATTGATTTGAGTTTACTGGTGCAGGCAAAAGGTCGACCTTGTTGAGGAGAGTGCTGCATGCAAGCGATGTAATTGTAAGAGATCAAAATGCTTGAAGCTGTAAGTCTCATATTTATATAAACCTATATTTAGGGTCAGTGTGCATTTTCTTCTAGTGTTTCTCCAAGTCTATTTTGGGGGTAATTTCTCCTTTTCTGAGAATTAAAACTGAGGTGAACCAACAATTTATAACTTTATTTATGGTGCTAAAGATCTTTGGAACTTAGTTCTTACAAGCCTCTAACTGAAATATTTCTACCTTTCTAGGTATTTGTTTGATTTTTTTAGTGTCACATTGAATTTTTCACTTGTAAAAGTGAAGGGTTTAAAGGCTAGGAAATAAGGTGTTAGCCAGCTAAAGGTGGCTTACTGATTAGAAGTGCCAAGCTTACTGCTCATATATTGCTTTTATGGTTGTTTGAACAGATGTTGTTCATTTTCCTGGAAGTATCAATGTTCGACATTTGTGTCCAACACATTTTTGGACGTGTATGGGAAAATGATCCGAGGACTCTCTACTTACATAGAAAAACCTAAAAACATTAAACAGACCCGTGCAGATACATCAAGTAACAAAGGTTTACACCTAAAAAGAGGATTCAAGATTCTCAAAGCTACAATCAAGGGCTATAATTAATTTATAAAAAATACAAAACATTTTGGGTTAATGGTTAAAGCTAAATAAACAATCATTTTGGAAAACAAAACTTATTTTTGTTTGCCTTATTTATTCGTGCCCTCATTCTATTGCACATGAGTTGAATGATAAAAGTGTTTCATGTTGCTTTTGATTTCTAGAATTACTTAATGAATCAATTTTCAATAGCCTATTAAAATGAACACATGAAATGTAATTTGATGATCATGTTTACCTTGTTTTGAGTATGTAGATATTTATGTTTGTGATGCAGTTATTGTGACTGCTTTGCTGCTGGTCTATACTGTATTGAGCCTTGTGCATGTCAAGATTGCTTCAATAAGTCAATTCATGAAAACGTGGTTTTAGAGACTCGCAGACAGATTGAATCTCGCAATCCACTAGCGTTTGCTCCCAAAGTGGTTAGAAACACAGACGGTGTTTTGGAGTCCTTGGTTAGATTCTATCTTTATGAATATGCTTCTTGATAAAAAATTCTATGTTCTGACTTTTCATTTTTCTTAAGATACACCTTTTCAGACAAGGGTATGGTGACTCCTTCAACCACATAAATGAAAAAAAAAACTTGATATAGATTAGAGTCGTTAAGCTGCATTTTCATCACTTATTTTGGTATGTGACCTTTTTCTTGGTATATTGAATAAGGTGACTTGAGAAAAGGGTGATGAACCTTGCAGGTCGACACTCCTTTGGAAGATTAAAAACTTAGATGCTTTGATTCCTCCCCCCTGCGTGCGCATTCGCGGAAGTCTTCATATCTGATGCATATATTTCTCATCACAGATTTTTGTGTCTATCTTTTTTCTTGGTTTATTGATTAAGTCCACATGAGAGAGTGGAGATGAACCTAGGATAATAATACTCCTTTGGATGGTTAACAGCTATGTTGCTCCAACTTTTTTTTTCATTTTTCTCGAAGTACTTGTGTTTGATGCATATGCAGGCATGGTTATGGGAATATGTTCTTCCAAGACTCTACAAGTAAAAGGAAATCTTGAAAAAACTGAACATAAACTATGAGAAAGTGGGATTTAATGATGATTTTGCCAAATTTAAATAAAGCGCCTCTTCATTTTAGTGTCACTTCTAGTTTAATCACATAGAAAATGGTGGTTGCTCATGCAGGGTGAAACTAATAAAACTCCAGCTTCAGCCAGGCATAAAAGAGGATGCAACTGTAAAAGATCAAGTTGCTTAAAGAAATACTGTGAATGTTTTCAGGTTTGTTTATTTAGCTCATTCTGCATAAATTGCTTTCTTCACTGACCTGATATGGTTGTTTTCTTCTGTGTATTAAAGGCTGGTGTTGGATGCTCCCTCAGCTGTAGGTGTGAAGGTTGTAAAAATAGTTTTGGTCGGAAGGATGGTGAGTGTGTGTTAACTTAAAACCTGCTATTTTTGTATCTATTTGTGAGCATATTTTCATGTGTTACAATCATATTTATGATGTTATATATTTATATAAAATTTGGCAATTAACAGTGTACTATATAAATTTTAATATGTTTGTGCAATGTTATTTGGATTTGGGTGTAAGTGTTGGATGTGATTACTTCATAAAAATTGAATAGTTGAACTAAAATGATGTTCATATTTATGTTGTATTTTATTTATTTTTCATTTACCAACATTTTATTTTTTTCCTCACTAGGAGGTTATGATTCTGAATCTGATGGGGACAATTTAGAGGCCTGCGAAAGAAATGTGTCAGAGAAAAACTCAGACATTGTAATCAGTAAAGGTCAAGAGAATCCACATCTTTCAGTGCTTTCCCCTGATATTTCCAGGTATCATTTCATCTTTCTCCAAATGTTTTCCCCTGATATCTGTTTTCAAACATATTTGAACACACTGTTGACAGGGGACGAGTATAAAAGAACTTTTAACAAATGAATATACCTATGTCTAAAACTCATATTTGAACATGGATACAAGTACATTCTTCTAAATATATTGAAAAACTTCAAAAAAAATTGATTATATTCATATAAGACACGTTATAGAATCTGAGTAACATTGGGCTATCCTTATACTACTGTTCCTTCAAAGCGAGTATTTCATTTTGCAGGCGGCCATTTGCCTACACAGGGAAGCTTGCAACATTTTTTCCCCATTCCCTTAAATCATCCCTTCAGTTATGCCCTACTCAAGAACAGGGTTCATCAGATTCTTCGTCATGTCAACCCAAGTTCGATTCAAATCTCCATGGAATTCCAGAAAATGGAACTCCAGAGCTTGCCAAACATAAAGGCTTAACCCTCGTCTTAAAACCATCATCTCCCAACTGTAAAAGAGTTTCTTCAGCTCCAAAACATCCTTGCACTTCATCATCCCCTGCATGGCGTAGTAGGAAGTTGATTCTAAGATCCATCCCTTCTTTTCCGTCACTTGCTCCGCCATGAAAGCTCCAGACATTTCAATTTCTTCATCATGCTGGTTTCCAGTTTTCTCCAGCAATTGAATTTTGGAGGTAAGTATCTTTCCACATTTAGCAATAATGCAGACTTCCACTAGTGAAGTAGTTCATTTATTTGTTTGTATCATGCTTGTGTATCTTGTAATGTCATAATCATGGTTTGAATATTCAATTTCACAATGAATTTTGATTTGTTAATAAATTTGTGTGTGTATTGTGTTGGTGTGTAGTCGAGAATCTCTTAGTGATTTTATCGTAACAAGAAATGTGCCTAAATCAAATCAAATTTGGTTCAAATTCCATTTGAGATAAAGATTGATTTGAATTCAATCAAGTTCCACTACTAAAATTCAAGTTTGATTTAAGATAAAAATTGAATTGTTTGATGTTTAATCTTTTATATCCAGTGAATTATAATTTACAGTTCCAGGTATTTTATCAAGTTATTCAATAGCCTTTGAGCCTTTATTGTAAAAAAAAATCCATTAATATATTAAATAATTATTTTGATATATGCCTTTTGATTGACTTCCTAAGCTTAATCTTGAACCGAAGCTCAGCTTTGAAAAATTGTCATGTTAAAACAAAATGAACCACGTTGAAAAATTCTTCAATGAAGCAAAAGCATAGTATAAGATAAACCCATAAAATAAGACAACCATTATCTAATACATTAAGTTTATTCTTTATGCCGATGATTGATGTTGAAACTCTGATTTATTACTTGTGTTCAACAATTAACAAATGTAATATAGCAAACCAAAATTTTAAAACTTTTGATCACCCGATGGACTTAACCTCTACAAATCTCAGACATAAAATGGATGCTAATTCAAAGGGGACATTTACTAGAATAAAAAAATTACCGACAGATTCAACGTTCTTACAAAGAAACGGAACCATATCCATCATGTGATCTCACACACGTATGAATATTCCAATAAAATAGTATTGAGCATCGAAAGCTAAAATTGATTAAAACGACTGCAATTAGTATTCAATTCAAAGACAAGAAAATGAATGGCAGACTCTATTCCAAGTCTTTGTCTTGAATTTCTTCACCCTGCAGAAGCTTCTGCTAGGTAAATGCTGAAAAAACTTCTCTTTCTACCATTTCTTTTTCTTCCATGTTGTTTGGTACCTAAGGAAATTTCAGCTTATATATAAATACCCCTTTAATTAACAAACACTAGCTTCAGTTTCTTCTGTTTGAAGTGCATTCTCAGTCTCCCTTGGAGAATATGGCATCCTACAGAATCTTAGCTTTTTCAGCTTTGTTCTTGATCTTGTTGCCCATAGCTTTTAGTGGGGATTTGATGACTAATCTCCTGCTCTAGCTCCATTCTATGGTACTTTCATGTTTTTAGAGGTCATATCCTCATATTTATATCCGAATATGTATCGAATATCGACATTAGAATGAAAATCTAAGAATCTGATACACTTTTTTTTCCTGTTTTTGACGAAAAAAAGAGAAGTTGTGTGATCATGTTGAATGTGGAAGGGGAACATGCAGACCAGACTGGAGATACCCTTTGAGCTACGTCTGCGAGTGTGATCCGGGTTGGAAAATGAGTCGTGACGGCTACCTCTTTAGGTTTCTAGCATGCGTGATTCCCAACTGTAAACCAACTTTTCCAATCTTCTATCTATGTTTGTTTACATCATAGAAGATTATTATTCAATTTCATGAAGTTTGATTAAGAATGTTTATGGCATTTTTTGTTGTTGTTGCAGGCACTCTTGATTACTCTTGTCAACCAGCTCCTCGTCCTGTACCTCAGAGAGAAGTTCCTCGCAATTCATCGTTCTTCGATCGTAATCACTTGACATCTTAATCCATGTTCAATTCGAATTTTAAAATATGTATCAGACACGAATATGTTCGACTGAAAAGAAGCAGCCATAGTTTTACAGGTTCTTGTTTATGGTTGTTTTAACAGCTTGCTCTTGGACTTACTGTGGAGAAGGAACCTGCAACAGAACAGATACATACAAGCATGTATGCGAATGCAGACCCGGGTTTTCGAATCTTCTAAACAGAACATACTTCCCTTGTTACAGTCAATGTATGAACTAAAAACTCAAAATTTCAGTAATCATACTGATGAAGTTCAATGAAGAAACTGATCAATCAAGCTCATGGTTTTCTTTCTCTCTAAGGTACACTCGGATCCGATTGCTCCCGCCTCGGGATTACGGTCGAAGATCAGCAAGCGACACCGGATGGTGGAAAAGGTGAAGTAACAGTGTAAACTTTGTAACAAGTTTATGTCAAAATATTTGTTATGTTTCAGACTCTGATATCTTAATGTTGTGTATCAGCCAACACATTCCTTCCAGGGAAGCTTCATTGGGTGGCTATTTTGGTGATGTCCATGGCTATGGCTCTATGGAAGTAGCAGTAAATTAGACCCTCGGTCATCACCAGTCTTTATTATCATCATTGAGAGTCGATTATCCCTTATACGTTTGATGTGTTATGTTGATTTGATGATTCTGATTAATTCTTATATATATATATATATACATATGTATATATTCATTTCTGTGTAATAAGTTAGACCTGGTGTGGGACAGTGGGGTGCTGCTTTATACTGGACTCTATTGTCTATTTTAGTTATTTTTTAGTGTATATACCGTCTTCTTTTCTTATTTCATATTAAATCATCTATAATTTGTCTGAAACATACTATTCTAAGCAACAAAATTCGATAATATTATTTTAAGGCTAAACTATACAATTGATCACTTAACTATTTAAACCTTTTACTTTAACTACCGATCTTTCAATTTTATCAATCAGACTACTAAACTATTTATTTGTTCTCAATCAAGCCCCTTTCCGTTAACAATTAAAAGTTTAGGTGACGTGACAGTTAAATATTTTGGTATAATCACACATTTGGTTCTTGTTATTTACATATTTTATCGGTTTAGTCATACTTTTTATAAATTAAAATAAATTTAATCCTTCAATCGAATGATGCCACGTGTCACTAACGCCACATGTTACTAACGCCACATGTTACTAACGCCACATGTTGTGCCACATGTCACCATTAAGTTGGAGGATTAAATTTATTTAATTTAATATATTTATTTTTGACCAATCAAATGATGACACCTATCACCCTTTAGTTGAAAGAAAATAAAGCAAAACAAATTGGGGCAAAAAAATTCAAACCTCAATCTCTTGGTAAAAAGTATGTACCCAACCATTGAGTCAAGATCAATGTTTGATTTAAATAGATAATATGATGTATATATTTTGTATCTTAGTGTATAAATACTTAAATTCATAATATTATATATATATAAACTTTAAAAAATATTTTTTATATTAACTTATTAATTACATTTTATTTTTAACTTAATTTAAAAATATTTTATTTTTATGTTAATTTAAAAAATTTATTTATGCTCAAATATTTTGAAGTTAAGATAAGAATAAAATATATTTAATAATTTAAAATAATAATATAATGTATTTAATAAATTAAGATAAAATATATACATTGAAAATTTAAAATAATAATAGAATATATTTTAATAGTTTAGATAAGAATAATATATATATTTTTAACTTAAAATAAAAATAAAATATTTTTAAATTAAGTTAATTAGAATGTATTTAATAAGTTAATATAAAAAATTTCTTAAAGTTAATGTATATAAAAATATTATGATTTTAAGTATTTATATATTAAAATATAAAATATATACATCATGTTGTCTATTTTAGACCAAACATTCGTCTTGGCTCAATGGTTAAAAGATTAGGTAACGTGACAGTTAAATATTTTGGTATAATCACACATTTGGTCTCTCTTATTTACACATTATCTCGATTTAGTCATACTTTTAATAAATTAAAATAAATTTAATCCTCCAATCAAATGATACAATGTGCCACTAATACCACGTCATGTGCCACCATTCAATTAGAGGATTAAATTTATTTAATTTAATATATTTATTTTCAACCAATAAGATGATAACACGTGTCACCATTTGGTAGTAAAATTGAACAACTAAATAGTTTAGCGGTCTGATTGATAAAATTGAAAGATTGATAGTAAAAGTAAAACGACTAAATAATTAAATGGTTAATAGTATAATTTACCCTTATTTTAAAATAAATTTATCTCAACCAGTGTAAAAATAAAAATAGATGTCACCCTGCAATATTAACATGATCTTTTAAATTTCTTAATGAATCTCAATGTTTATTTTAAGTCCACTCCTAAATAACATTTCTCGAAATAATAAAATAAATATGCGTACCAATAAAATATAAGAAACATCAAACTTAACATAGTTTATTTATAATTGTAATTACAATTTTGTTTTTAAAAAGGTATTTATAATGACAATATGATCCTAAAATTTGTGTGCTGCATACCTTTACAAAGAAAAAAGAGATTAACTTACATTTGTTTAGTGTTAATGCTCTCAATGCCTACTTTCTTTTATTATGGTTAAATATTTAATGTCTATATTTTCACTTTGATTTTTACTTTTGTTATTCTTTAAGTCTAAAAAAAATAATTGAATTATCACAATATATCATTAATTGGGAAAATTCTATGGTTATCGACGAATAGTGATGAATACCACTAACAACGAGCACCATTAATTTAATTTATAAAAATTTAAATTCTAAAGGACTCAACCTATAATTATAAATTAGTTAAAAATTTAAAGATAAATTATTTAAAAATAAAGGATAAACTATACCAGTTACCACCTAACTATTACCCATTTTCATTTTGACTAATATTTTTGAAATTTTGTCATCAAGTCACTCAACTATTTAAATGTATTCAATTAAGCCACTTGCTAGTAACATTTAACGGAGAAGCAGATGTGACAGTTAAAATATTTAATATAATTACACATTTGATCACTGTTACTTATATACTCTATCAATTTGGTCCCAAAATTTCAAATTAATTTTCTTATATAACAGGAACACGATTTTAAGCTAAATTTTGTGTTAGACTGTGAACCAGCATGTGAGAAAATTTTGTCTCTAAATTCTGTGAAAATGTCGTACATAGCGTATTGTACACTTTTCAAAAGAGGGTGCGTGCCTTTAATACACAATTAATTTTATTAATTGAAATAATGAATAATAAATGAAAAATACATGAAATATTTTATCATGACATAAAGCTCATTTATCGATCTATTTACTCAAACTTTTTTCTTTTTTTAATCTTATAAATATTCGAACCTTACTTGTTTAATTGACATATTTAAATATATTTTAAAAATATAACTTATTTTCATAAAAATAGAAACATCTTATGAAATCTGTTTAATTGACATATTTAAATATATTTTAAAAAAATAGAATTTATAAAAATTAAGATTAGATTTGATTTAAAAATATAACTTATTTTCATAAAAATAAATATAAAAGGGTATTTGTTTGGTTTAGATCTATAAATTTAATAAAATTTAAAATTTTATATATTTTCTTATGATTTTTCATATTTTTATATCGATATTGGTTTTTATTATTGAAAATGAAATTTTATTTCTAATTTATAAATATATTTCTAATTTTACAAATTGAGAAATGAAGATAGAAATACTTTTAGAAAATTTATTGGATATCACTATAATAAAAATTAATATTATTTTTTAAAAAAGATTTAACTTTATATAATAGAGAATATAAAATTCTAAATAAATTCTACATTCTTAAAAGTTTTAGGAAAAGTCCTCTTTACTGAACTTAACGGCACCGTCACCGGATCCCAACTCCTTGAAATCGCTGACTCGAAAGCCTCCAGTTCGCTCTTTGGCCTCTCATTGCCTCAAAACATTAAAGCTTCCGCCCTTTCTCGTGTCATCGCAGGAGCCGTTGATGATGGCGTCACTTTCCGCAGCCATTGCTGATGAGATGAAAGGTAAAAGATGATCAAGTCAACTATGGTTACTTTATAGTTAAGATAATTACATAAAGTTAAAACCTTCTAGAAAACTTTAAACTGTTTGGTGATTTTATGATCTGGGGTTTTTTTTCTGCTGGTTATTTTGACTAAACTATAAACTTTTGGGGTTATTTTGATTTTAAACTATTGAATTTGGGTTGATTTGTTTAGATGATCCATTAGTGGTGTCAGTACTGGATGGGAATACTTTGAAGATGTTTTTGGAGGATGAAGATGATTATGCCATGTTAGCAGAGAATTTGTTTACTGATATGGATATCGAAGATAAAGGGAAGATTTGCAAGAGTGAGATAAGAAATGCCCTTGTTCATATGGGCATCTAAATGGGTATCCCTCCATTTCAGGTTCCTCTTTCCATTTCCATATTACTTTCTTGTGTTGTTTTAATGTATGTGGTGAACTGGTGTTCCGATCGAATATTTATTCCGCGAAAGTTCGAATATCGTACTCATGGATTTAGCTTGGTTTGAGCTTATGAGGATAGCCATTTAGGGATCATATAAGGTCTTTTATCCATTCCCTGTGTCAATGTGTATGTCCCCCCTTCATTCTAAATGGCATGTTGTACACCATAACTTGAAACCCGGAATGACTAATGCTATGTGAGAAGTGGATATCTTACACCGTAACTCGAATGTATTAATGAATCTGATATTTGTGTTGGTTCCCAATGTTTAAACAGAGTTTACTCCGCTAAACGACATCTTGAAAAAGTATGTTGTTGAATTACTTCAGCCGATTTTGCAGGAAATAGCTGATGCATTGCCTGAAAAGCATGTTGTTGTTATACATAACATCAAGGTTGTCAATGGTTCTGAGCTAAGAAAGGTAGATCACGAGCACGATCTTTTTCTTCTTCTTTTATTTGTAGTAAATGAAGATCGGAGAGCATATGCTTTTTGAATTTCAGCATGTAATCGCTTCTTAACGTTTTCAATCATTTTCGCTTGAGAAAATAAAGGGAAACGGTCTGCATCCAAATGCTTTTTGAATTGGTGTTTCATTTTTGTTAAGAATTATCGAGTTTTCGAACACAAGGATGACTTCTGATGTCTACTAGTCCGGACATTGCAGGTCTTGGCAGATGAGAAGCAATTCAATGATGTCGCAGAGAGGGTTTTGTTGGAAATAGAAAGCGAAAAAGATGGGCTACGTAAGACGAAGCTAATCAGGAGTTTCTTAGAGAAACATGGAAAAGATTTCTGATTGCCACCATCGGAATCCAACAAAGCTGTGGTTCTTCTATACGATGCGGTATTTTCCGATATCGAGAATGAGAAGAGCGTTGCACGAGCGGACAACGAATTCAGGGAAATCGTGAAGGACATCCTCGAGAAGTTTGTAGAACAGCTTGAAGCTAATCCCGTCTTTCGTGACCTTGACAATTAAGGGAGTGGTCGAACTATGAAGCAAATTCTTGGGGTCACGGAGGCTGTTCATATCTATCCGAC